TTGAATTTGCAATCCTGTCTCAGTTTCCCAAGTTGCTGGGATTACGGGCATGTGCCACCACACCCAGCTACTTATTTTTTTTTTTTACTTTGAAATTGGGGCTAAGCTGCTGAGGGTCTGTTTAAGTTTCCCAGGCTGTCCTCAAACTTGGGATTCTTCTGATTTAGCTTCACAAATCGTTGAGGTCACAGGAGTTTGCCATTGCACCTGGCTCTTAAAAAATAGCTTAATCAGTCATGACCACTTAGTCACAGTGATGGAACCTGATAGACAAAGGCCACTCTGAAACTGTTGGAAACTCGGTAAAGATAATACTCTACAATTCAGATTACATCAATCACCCTACCTCCTAGATAAAGATTGCTAAGATAATTATCTAATTGTCACATTTTAGGAAATTGGCTTCTGATTCTCTAGTACAGCACACTAAATAAACCCAGCTTTGGTTGTCTGCACATGTACAGTCCTTGATTGACTGCCAAGACCTGTCAAAATTCAGGGAGCCACTCGGAGACTTCCTGTTCTAGCACCTTCCATCCCTCAACCCCTGACCTGGTTGATGCTCAATGAATCTGCTTCAAAATCCTTTGAAATTAGAGATAAGATAATTTTGGATCCCTGGGAGTTCCCCGGGCAAGCACTGATTGATAATCTAATTTCGAATGGAGAGATTAAGACCTGAATGGGATATTGCTGGATTGGATCTTCTCCACGAGGCTACAGTAACAGGAGATCCTCCCTAGGGTGTGTCAGGGGGTGGGTTGTTTGAGTGCCCATATATAGCACAGGGTCCAGGCCTTTTTCACATTTTCCAGCCAGTTGCTTGGACTTGCTCTACTCTGAATCAAGAAGAGCAGTGCACCATTTGGAAATGAGCACCCTTGGCAAGAAGGCGTGGTGGACCTTACCTGAAAACTTTCATTCTCCACTGGTACTTTACATGGAAGAAGACCTAGAGAAGCACATATTTGGTAGGTAGCCCTTGCCCACATCTCCTTCCCCATCCTTCCCTTCCAACCTTTCTCTCTCCTCCTCTGTCCGTCCCAGGTCCCTACTCTCAAGGCCACCTCTTTGTCTCACTCAGTACAGGGCATTTACTTTTCCTCTCTCTCCCCTCCTGTGTTCACAGGTCAAGGAGATGAATACCTTCATAGTATTGAGGTGCATAGCCACACTCTCATTCAGCTGGAGCCATGGTTCACAGCCACAGGCCAGACTCGAGTTATAGTGGTTGGACCACCTAGAGCAAGAAAGTGGCTGCTGAGTATGATCCGGAGTTTGGGGAGCCGGGATTGGTGCTGTCAGGACCAAGGTAGGTATCCTTACTAAATTGTGGTTAAGAATGAAGTGATAGTCCTGGTAGAGTTTTGTGGCATTGAAGGATTGCTCAAGTGGTTGGGAATCTAGGTGCTCCCCAGAGTTCATTACAAGTAGAGGGACAAAGTCACACCATTTTTGTGACTTGAAGTCACTGAGGGAGTAAAAGGTAGTGAGGAGGCATGAATGGGTTGTCTGAGGGGGCCTGGGTTAGGATGACTGTCTTTCCCATAATG